CCGACTCGTCAAACGTGACGTCCTGAGAGGACAAAACACGACGCGAGGTGGGGTGGTAGAACTGCCACCCGGGTGCGTCAGGAGGGAAGCCAAGGAAGACACAGGGAACGACACGGGAGGACAGCTTGTCCGCAGTAGTATCGCGGACAAAAGCTCGAGATCCCCAGACACGGAACGCGGACGCATCGCCAACCTTCCCCGTCCACCGCAGAGTAGGTGTGGTCTCCGGCAAGGAGACACGAGGCTGAAGGTTGATCTGATGCACAGCGTACTGAACCGCGAACGGCCACAGAAAATGGGGAGCAGCCGCATGGATCATGGACGTACGAGCGACGTCCGTGACCATGCCAATGCGGCGCTCAGCAATCCCATTTTGCTGCGGGGAGGCCGGAAGCGTGAACGTCTGGCGGATGCCCTCAGAACGACAGAAGGCTCTCAGGAGGTCAGAGGAAAACTCCCCGCCTCTGTCTGAGTGCAGACGCAGAACACGAAGGTCTGAGCCGAAACTCTCACTGAGCTGGCGACGAGCACCGCGGATCCAGTCGATCAACACCTCAGGGACCTCACCCTTGCTGCGCAAGGGGAAAACTGTGGTGTAACGCGAGTAGTCGTCAACGACCAGCAGGAAGTAACGCTCGTGACCCTGTCCACGGACGCGGGCTGGGCCCCACACGTCCATGTGAAGAGTCTGCAGAGGAGCCTCAGTCGGAGGGAACGAGGAGGAGTGAGGGGCGGCGCGCTGCCGGCCCTCGACACAAGGAACACAGGTGGGGGCAGGCCCCGGAGGAAGGGGAGGGAGGGACCTGGGGAGACCAGAGACAAGGGCACGGGAGGCCATACCTCGAAGACGAGGCAGGGAGGGGTGACCAAGGCGGTGGTGCCAAAGGAGAGTCTTGTGCGACAGAGGACGACACGAGCAGGGGGCAGACGCAGGACTAGACCTGGACGCGGCAGCAAACACCTGACTAGACGCGGCTACCTGACCAGACGCAGAGACCGGAGGAGGCGCAGTAGTCAGTGTGTACAGACTCGACCCTGGCCGACGGGTGAACGTGGCCAGGTGGCGACCCGTCCGAGAGCAAGTGCAGTGGGTCACACGCTGACCTCCAGGGGTGAACTGGTCAACCCACGCGTCCTGGAGGTCAGCTCCACTCACCAAGTTCATAGAGAACGAGGGGAGGTGGAGTCCCGACGGGGCCGCAGGACACGGTAAAACTGTAGAGGAGTGTGCAAGGACTGGGCCCCCTGAGGGGTCAGCAAGGGAGACCGCAACAGGCCGGGCGAGCGGCGTGAGCGTGGTGCTGTCTCTAAAGAAAGAGCGCGAAGCACCAGAGTCAAGTGTGAAAGTGTGCAAGGCCTCAGTAGGTGCAGTACCAGAGAGAGTAGACGTACCAGCACCTGGAGGAGCAGACGCACTAGCACCTAGGGCAGGAGCCGTACCAGCACTTGGAGCAGCAGGCGCACTAGCACCTAGGGCAGCAGCCGCACCAGCACCTAGAGCAGCAGCCGCAGTGCCCGGGTCGGGCGGGACACTCAGGTAACAGTCACCCTCAGTAATATCAGCAAGAGCATACATGGCAGCAAGGATAGCATCAAAGTCTAGATCAAAGATAGGCACGTTCTGCAGAAGCAGATCATGCCAGCGAGGGAGCTCAGAATAGTCAGGAAACTGGGTACGCCAAGCGTCAGTCAAGCGACCGAAGCAGCGCTGCGTGGTGTGTGGGAGCCCACACACCTCCCCACTACGAGGGCCGGTGCGAAGAACGTAAGCGCAGGGACCTGCACCCCCAGACCTCCCACGCGCAGCGTACCACTCACGAAGCTGCTGAACCGACGGGGTCTCACTGGAGCGCGGCTGCTGCTGACGCTGGCTACCACCAGCGCCTCCACGCTGCGCGGCTGCACCTCGACCAGCACCACCGCCGCCGCCACCTCCACCACCGCTGCCGCTGCCTCCACCACCTCTGCCGCTGCCTCCACCACCTCCACTACCGCCACTGAAGCCCCCACTCCCGGTGCCACCCCCACCTCCACCGCCACCCCCTACTCCTCCGCCACCACCCCCCCCCGCCGCCCCCTCCACCACCTCTGCCCCCCTTGCCCTTGCTGTTGCGGCGTCTTCCACTCGGAGCAGACGCAGCCCCGACCTCCTCAGTGCCAACGAGGTCGATAGCAGCAGCAGAAGCAACAGAGGGGAGAAGGGGGACAGGGGAACACCCCTCAAAGAAAGGGGTGCGACGGTCGCCGCGAGAAGCACCTACAGCTAAGATACTCTTCTCAGCTGCAGTAAGGCGCTCCTCTAGCAGGACGACAGTCAGCTCGGTGGGGCAAAGGGAGAGGAAGTGATCCCTGACTGAGGAAAGTGAGTCAGGGAGGCGGGTGACTAGGTAGTAAAGGGTGATGTACATGGGGGGAGGGTTCTTGGCACAGAACTCAGTGGGAAGGGCAGCACGGTAGCGAGCGTCACTAGTGCGAAGGTGAGCAACTAGGTCAGCGACTATGGCAAAGGCGGCAAGGTTAGGGAAAAGGTACGGCAGCATGAGGCGGCTGAGTGCAGCAGTGGAAGGGGAGGAGTAGCGTGCAACTACAGCGTCGTACAAAGACTGAGCAGTCTTGTACTGGCCAAAGTGTGCGCGCTCAGCAGGCGGCAGGTGACTACGAACAGCAAGACGAGCAACAGCGTCACGAGTGGTCCACTGAGAGCGAACAGTACTGTCAGCAGTGACAGCAGGAGCAGTGGAAACACCAGACGTGTGATCGAACAGAGATACCCCATCACGAGAATCACACTGAAGAAACTGCTGGAGATCGTCAACCCACACGTCAAAGCCAACTGCACGTCCATCAGCATCAAAGGTGAGAACGGTGGGACTAGCCATAGTAGCAGTAGGAGCAGCAGCAATGCAAAGCAGTGAAAGCAGCAGTAGCAGCAGGAGCAACTCAGCTAGGCAGGGCAGCGCGACTCGGCAGGGCGGCTCGGCAGCGCGGCTCGGCAGGGCGGCTCGGCAGCGCGACTCGGCCCGGTTATGCTCTTACCAAGGGCGAGGCCGGGGCAGGGTCGGGGCAGGGCTGCGACGACTGGGCCGCAACGGGGCCAGGGCAGGGTCGGGGCCGAGGCAGGTCTGGGACGGGGCCGGGACAGGGTCGGGGCCGGGGCAGGTCCGGGACGGGGCCGCGACAGGGTCGGGGCTGGGGCAGGTCCGGGACTAGGCCGCGACGGGGCCGGGGCAGGGCCGGGACAGGGTCGGGGCCGGGGCAGGTCCAGGACGGGGCCGCAACGGGGCCGGGGCAGGACAGGGTCGGGGCCGCTACGGGGCCGCGACGGGGTCGCGACTGGGTCGGGGCCGGGACAGGGTCGGGGCCGAGTAGGGGGCCGCGGAAGGGGGGGGCGCGTAAGGGGCCGCGACGGGGCCGCGCAAGGGGCCGCGTAAGGGGCCGCGACGGGGCCGCGCAAGGGGCCGCATAAGGGGCCGCGACGGGGCCGCGTAAGGGGCCGCGACGGGCCTAGAAGGGGCCGCGACGGGCCTAGAAGGGGCCGCGACGGGCCTAGAAGGGGCCGCGACGGGCCTAGAAGGGGCCGCGACGGGCCGTGAAAGGGGCCGCGACGGGCATAGAAGGGGCCGCAACGTGCCGTGAAAGGGTCGCCACGGGCCGCAAGGGGGGGCCGCTACGGGCGCAAAGGGGCCTCTACGGGCCGTGAGGGGGGGGGCCGCTACGGGCCGCGAAGGGCAGGCGCGACGCGCGCGTCGGGCAGGTAAGGAAAAAAAAAATCGTTTTAGTGGTGGGCCCTTAGGAAAAACTAGCTCTATACCATGTGAGAATAATAGGAATGAATGATTGAACTAGAAACGAGGTGGGTACAAGTAGAGAACACAAAAGTGTTGTACCCTCTAGGAACTACCCCACTACAGCCTAAACAGACTATAGCAGATATAAGTTTGACAAGATCTACGCAGAGGCCATGGCTGCTCAGGAGCTACGCTGGCTCACCTACCTGCTGACTGACTTGAGAGAGCGGCCTCGTTCTTCTCCAGTGCTGTACGTAGACAACAAGGCCATGATTGCCTTGTGTCAGGAGCACAGACTGGAGCACAGAACGAAGCACATCGCTGTGCGTTACTTCCTTGCTCGAGAGTTGCAGCAGCATGGTCAGCTTCGTCTTGCGTACGTGGCCACTCGGGCCAACACTGCTGATATATTCACCAAGGCACTTCAGTTTGGTGATCATCAGCGATCTTTTCTGTTTTAGGCCTTGTGCCTACTTTGCCTCACTTGCTCACTACGTGACTTTGCTTGTTCTCTTTTATTTAGTTATGCATGTGAACTGGCCTTGTGGCCCTTTGCTTGTGCTCGGAATGTGTGGTGACTTCGTGATCCACCCTGAGCTTGCCTTGCTTTTCTTGACTGGTCTTGTGACCACTTGTTCTCCCCCACTTTGCCTATGGGGGTGTGTCAAAATATTGTATTGCTTACTTTGTGTAGGCTATAGTGGGGTAGCCCATAAGGGGTACAACCCAATTAGGGTTAGTACTTGTACCCCACTCGTTCATAGTTCATTCATTCTCGTTCATTCTTCTGACAAACAAAACCGCTATGACAGTCAAACTACATGACTTCGACAGAAGTCACTCATCGAAACGACATTCCCCTTGTTCTTGCGCCATGCTCCAAACGCCGGTGGGCATACGCACAGCTGCATCGAGATAGACCTTCCAGTCCTTTTCATCCTGCCTCGTGAACCCCTCGTACTCCTAAAGGTCTATGTCGGAGAAGTACACGTGCCAGCACATGGCCGTACAAAACTTTTGGTCCGCCTCTGTTTCAAAAGTGCACAAGAACTGCTTCCTCAACCCTACGGTCTGCTCGGAAACTGGCTTCCCCTTCCGCGACATCATGCCCGGTCCTTTGAAGGGAGCTTTGCAGCCTCTCGTCTTGCCTTGGTCGTCTGGCGGAGGAGGTGGGGCGTAGCCGATCACCTTGGGGTTCTTCGACTTTTCGTGTCAAGCAGCAACGACGGTAGACGCCTTCTCGACGTCACTACTCTCTGTCGCCTCTGCAGCGTGCTTCGTCGAATTTGTCACAGCCTGCCTTTTCTTCCACGCAGATGGGGACCTTGGCTTTGGACCAGGAGGAGGGGAACCCGGTTCGCTAAGGCAGACGTCGCCTAGCACGAACGACGGCCTCTTTCCCACAGGCTTGACAGGATGGCCAACAATACCGAGCTGCGCAGCTGAGTCGGCCTTTGTCTTCGAAAACAACCCAGCGGCGACGACGACCTGGCTGGGAGCACCCCGTTTCTCCCCCGCTCCTTTCCCTGCAGCGCCTCCGAACAGGGTAGGGGCACCTCGCTTTTCCACGGCTCCTTTCCCGGTCGAGGCGACGGATTCGATTGGGGCACCAATTTTCTCCCCCACAACCACTCCTTTCCCACCCTTTTTCCCGAGGCCCTACAGCATGTCCTACAGTGGTGCAAAAGCATCAGGCGGAGGCTTCGGTGCCGCTTCAGAGGTCTTCTGAAGGGGCGACTGGTCGAGTACGATGACCTCCTTGTCCTCGACGGACTTGCAAACGGTCTGACGGGCACGCGACGGTGGGGATGCTACTGGGCTGCCGACATGTCCTCCCACCGAAGAAGGAGGAGGAACCGAGCGCTCATGAAATCGACGCTCAACCCTGCTGCGAACACCAGCCACCTCCTCCTCCTGGCGCAACCTCGTCGACGGGCCCGCCAAGCCCCGAAACCCTCTCGTCATCGCTTCGGTGAGGACTTCCAATATGCCAGCTTCAGCTTCTTGGTAGTCTTCTCTCACAACGTCCTTCAGCTCCTCCATGCTCTCGGGCGGGAGGGTGGAGTAGAACAAGTCCTCCTTGACGGCTTTCTCAATACCCTTCACGACCGAAGCAACCAGCCACTCATTGACAAGCTTGGGCTGCTTCTCGACGTCGTCCTCGCTTACTTTTGTGATAGCGGCTGCCACCCCTTCGATGATTTTCCCGCTCATCTCGTCGAGCTTCGTGCGCGCCCCTTCCAACAGCGTCCTCTCCTCCGTGACACCATTTACGGCATCACCGCACTTCTTCAGCGTGCTCTTCAACGACTCTAAAATCATATTCCAGGCCGTCCGAAAATCCCCAGCAAGCTTGTTGAAAACAGCGGCTTGCTCACTGTGCTTCGCAAATACGTCGGCAACGAGCTTCTTCTGTGATGCCTTGACCTCCATGACCCTCTGCAGTAGCTCGACGACCTGGCCTCTAGATTCAATGGCCAACGTCGAATGGCCTGCCGTCGAAGGGCACCCGGTCGAAGGGCCTGCCTGTCCGCTGGCACTGGCCATGCGGTGTCTCCTTCTTACTGCGACTTGTCGCTCCTGCGCAGCCTCCCCGCCCTCCTGCTCCTGCCCTCCTGCCCCACCCTCCTGCGCAGCCACCACGCCCTCCTGCTGCTGCCCTCCGACCCCACCCTCCTGCGCAGCCGCCCCGCCCTCCTGCTGATGCACTCCTGCCCCACCCTCCTGTGCAGCCGCTCCGCCCTCCTGCTCCTCGACAGCCCCATCGTCCCCCGTCGCCTGCTGCTCGTCCACCCGCTCCCCGAGCGCCACTCTGTGCTCCTCCGTACGCTCCGTCCCACCTGGATATTCTCCTGCACCCTTGGCGTCGTGCTCGATCGACTCATCGCTTGAGCTCGAGCTCGATTCCGAGCCTGAGCCCTCCTGCTCGTTTGCATTGCCGCTCGGGCCGCTCACCCCGTGCTGAGCTTGCCTCGATGTATCCTCCTCGATCTCCTCCTCATCGTAGCTGTACTCAACCACGACGTGTGGCGCCCCCTCGCCTCCTCCCTCGTGTTCGGCACCCCCTCCCACTCCTACTCCCTCCGCCACCTCGTCCATCCTTTTCCAAAACAGTTTGACCATGAACGACGGAAGCATACCCGGGCCAGGGCTCGTTCTCCCGAGCATCACGAGGTCGCCCTGTCGAGGCTGCAGGATGAAATTGTCCCAGTTCGTCAGAATCCGGCGCACCCCATGCACGACACGAGCTGCCGCGACGGGTTCACTGGGGCTCGTCAGGGCCATCGTCGTCTGCGACGGGTATAAAATACACGTAAGCGACAGAACAACATGCTCGACAAAAACATGCACGAGTAAGGGTAAGTGTTGGCTTACCAGATGATCAAAACTCGTGATCATGTCCAAACGCAGGTCGATGAGGCGAAGCACCCCCTGCTCGTGCTCGGTCACAACCCGCTGGGTCGTCGCGTACTCGGCGCGAAGCTGCTTCTTCATCCAACTGCAAAGCAACGGACAGGAGAGTGAGAGATTGTCGAGAACGACAAGTCGACAGCAGGGTGGCAAATCGGTCACTCACACGAGAACTTCGTGCTCCAGCGAAGATTGGTGGTTCACCGCGGGAAACCTGTCTTTCGAATCGAAGTGCATCATTCGAGTTCGACAGCCATCGTGCCTCTGAGCCAGTAGATCGTCGGGGCGCGATACCACAAACAGGCTCGAGTGGGAGAACGGCGCCACAATCAGGCTGCATGCAGAGCGAATGCACGTGAGCACGGGTTTAGTACTAAACATGGAGCACGCAAGGCGACGGGATAGTGTCGAACTCACATGGTCCACAGGAGAACGAGAATCACTTGCTTGCCGAGCAGGTCGTCGAGGTGGTTGTTCGCGAAAGCGACCGGTGTGGGACGCGCCATCTCTTCATGCGCACGCGTCGAAGTCACGATCGACAGCTTGGCGAGCTGCTCGACGGACAGTAGCTCCCTCAAAAACAGGCTGCACGGAAAGCTAAGGCACAGTCAGCGACAGGTAAACATGGCAAACCGAAAATGCTCAACAGGAAACGTACACAGCGCCCGCGTTCATCATCATCTCGTCGAGCTCCGCCTTCGGCGCCTCACTAAGCGCATTCAACTGGTCTCCGAACACCTCCACATTGATCCCGCCTGCGGTTAGGATGAGGGCGCGTCGAACCGTCGGCTCGTTCACGACGGGTAGGGAGGCGGGGCCCGTAGCCATGGCAGGCCTAACAGTAGGGAGGGCAAGAGCGCAGGGAAGTTGGGAACTAGGGAGTAGGGAAGAAAAACTCGGGGACTGCAACAAAATGAGAACGCACTCAGGGTATTAGCTGTTTGCCATCCCCTCCACCGAGATAGACTCGGGTGCAAGGGCGACAAGGCAGGGCGCGTTTCGCGACGGCGGTAGGAGGAGCTTATGGCAGAGGGGCGGGGCCCTATTGGTGGTTGGTTGCATGAGGTGGGGCGCCCTGCATGCAGCTGAAAGGCCCCTTTCAAGGAGCGGGAGGGGGCGTTCGACACATCACCAGGGTCGAGCGCCAAACGAAACGGGCCCGTCGAGGGCGAGAGCGGTGGAGCGCGGCGCAAATGGGCGTCGCTTCCGTGGGTTACCGGACGGAACCCGTCTACGAACCGAGGGTGTGGTTTGTTTTGGTTGGGGGGGACCACTGCCAGCTTGAGGGCGCGTGTCTCTGGCGTCATCGACAGCTGGCGCCAGCCGGGGGTGCCCGTTTTCGGGGGGGGGGGGGCGGCTCCCGCCCCTCGCGTGCTTCGCTAGGCGACTGCGGGAAAACGGAAATCCCTCCAGGGAAATACCGCAGGGGCAAAGGGGGGCCTTCGGAGGGATTCGGCTGATATCTTCCCAAGTTGTACTGTATAGAAATCCACAGTCCACCCATTCAGTGTTCAAATGCTGCACAGTCATGACTAAACGACGACGTGCGTTTTACTCGGCAGTCGGTGCAGGCGGAGAGGTAAGCCCACTGTATGTCGTCGAACACTCACATGACTCTGCCTGTTACTCGCGCCCGCCTGCATGGAGGAAGGAAAGAAAGAAACAATCATAATGACGTGCTTACCGATAGTTTTAGCAGCGGGGACAATTATTTTCTCTACAACCGCTCCTTTTTTAAGCAACTAATCCCCTGGACGAAAAATAGGACTTGAAAAGCGTCATACAAGCGGCGACAGCGGCAATGATGACGGCACAAGTATCCCTACCCGCGCCGGCAGCGGCAGCACCAAGAATACCGACGGACGCGGCAGGAGCGGCAGAGGCGCCACCGGCTGCCAAGGTGGAAGCGCTCCCGCTCTCCCTCGCCATAGCCGCAGTGGTGCTTGTTGTGGAGCTATTCGTTATTGCCACACTCGCATATCGTCACCCCGGCGCCTTTCGTTATACGTGGACCCAACTACTGGGTCAACCTTCGTATAGTAGCGGCGCGAACTATTATCAGACAGAGATTGTACCGAATGTGACTACTACATCGGTGGCAGTCCCGAATAGCCCCCCCCCCCCCCCCCCCCCCGGTTGAACCCGGCGCAGCTCGCCGCGACATTCCCCATCAGACCGTATCAGCACCCCCCCAGTGACCACCTTTGCCCTTCCGCAAGAGATTCTCTTCACTTGAACAATGATACGGTTGGGTATACTAAGCGAGAAGTTACTTATACGCCCTCAGATGCTGTACTAGCTGCGGGACATTCCGTGATTGACGCCGCCGATGATTTGGAAGCACAAAGTACTACCGACTTGAAACACGGAGGGGTTGCAGCGAACAGAGAGTGCACAGTGTGTTTGTGTGACTTTAACGAGGGTGAGCGGCTTCGCTATCTGCTGCCCTGCGAGCATCGATTCCACGTCAGCTGCATCGACCATTGGCTCGCCGACAGGACCACGTGCCCCGTGTGCCGAATAGACATCAAAGCGACGTCATTGGATGTGACTATAGAAAGCGGATAATAACGAGGTGGAGGGAAAGCAGAGTAGTCTGATCGGATAGGGTTTCCGCAGCAAGAGCCGCGAAGCAGAAGTGGGGTCTCGGTTTGTTTTTGTCAGATTCGCAACCCGAGAGTTTGGAACACATGCCCCGTGCGCTGAGTAGACCTCAAAGCGGCAGCATCGAATGTGACTATAGAAAGTGGAAGGAAGGGAACAGTATAATCGGCTAGGGTTTCGACAGTCTAATCGGCTAGGGTTGCAGTTTGCTGCAAAGCCAATGAGGATTCGATTCGTTTCTGCCTGTCGCAACGCAATCTGCGAGTTTGATGCTAATGATGCGCCTCACTGAGCTGAATGCGTAAGATCTGACGGCTCAATCGCAAGTATTGAGAGTCCCATAGAAAAGCATGCGAAGCTGGTCGTATGCTTGCGCGGGTATCGATTGTGCCACGAAGCGGTCGTTAGATGTGCTCCCGTGGAGCCCTGAATCTACGTGGGGGCTTGGAGCACTATGGTGGGTGGAAACGCCAGAGGCGCCGCAATTCCTGCATATCGCTGTTGGGGAAATGCTGTTGTTGCTCGAGCAGCCATGGGGACTAGGGTTTGCTGAGCTTCTTCCATTTGCACTCAGAGCTACAGAGTTTTTTTGTTAGATAGTTGTTTGTAAGTCTCTAGTGTATCAAAATATCAGTCTACGTGGAGTTTTGAACATCCTTGACATCAACATTCATACGTGGAGGTTTGACCACGCCTTGACATCAACATTCATACATGGAGTTTTGAACAGGCATTGACATCACAATATGCCAGTCATATGGAAATTCGTGCCATTATGTGCAAAATCCATTTTCCAGTTCCCAATCACATGTTCAGAAGCACACATATACATACAATAATCAGCATCCATTGGTAGTACAATTGAAACTGTGAAATTACAGTCATGACTGGTGTGCCATCTCTTTCCTTTGCTGGTGTGATGGCCCTCTAACGCCCCATCGTGAGAAGAACCCAGAGCTAGACCCATATTGAAACGGCCCTCCTCCCTCCTCACGCTCCTCTCGTCTCCCTGCTCCTCCCTCTTCCACTGTTCCCAGCAAAGCAAATGCTTTCATGGGGCTGCCAGTGTTACTGGTTACCGCAAGGCCCCCTCGGGGGCTCAGACCCGCCACCTGGGCCACCCTCCGAACCTGCCCCGTTCCAGGCTTGGGAGACCGCTGCGTTACTGAAGCTGTCGGAGACAAGCTTCGGGCAGGTGGCGATGTCAACCCTGCACTTGCCGAGCCTGATACAGCCATGGAGCTAGATCCTGAACCTGCTCCAGCCAAGCCACCTCCCGAACCTGCCCCCTGGCCTCCTCGATTCTCCACGCTGCCCCTTTCATAAAAGAAATCCTCAGATAAGCCCCAGTCATTTGCGTTCCCAGAACCCGAACTACCCCCAGAATCCGATGCCCTAACAATATTTCTACCCCCTGAATCAGCAGCTTTAGCCGGGTTTCTAGGTCTCAAGGAATCGTGGGCTGCTGTTGCTGTGCCGTAATGCTGCACAGGATAATGGTGCGGGTGGGCTGGGGGGAGGTGGTGGTGGTGAGAGGGGAGGCCTTGGGGGTTGTGTGAGGGGTGGTGGTGGTGGTGGTGGAGGTTGGCCCCTGAATGAGGGTCGGAATCAACTGCTAGCAGCACCTGTGTTTCCCCAGCAGCAGCAGCAGCAGCAGCAGCAGCAGCGGCAGCAGCAGCAGCAGTGGCGGCGGCAGCAGCAGCAGCAGAGCGAGGAGAGAGCACCCCAGCAACCCCGTTCAGCAAACCCCCCAACGCACCATACCCTGTAACGCCCCCCCCTGCTCCCCCCCCACCACTCCCACCCCCACTCACACTCACAGGCAACCCCGACCCTCCTCCTCCGCCCATCCCTCCCCCACCCGCACCGCCTTTCCCCCCACCCCCCCCTCCCCCCGCCCCTCCCGGCGACACCATACTCTTATTCTTCAGCATCAGCCGAGCGCGGTCCTGGTGGGCGCCAATGGCAGCGAGGCGCGGCACGAGCTTGAAGGCGAAGGGCGTGAGGACGAGGGAGAGCGCGGTGGTGCCCATGAGCAGCAGGTACAGCTTGTGCCCGACCAGCTTCAGGGTTTGCGCTCGCGACAGCAGCACAAAGGAGAACTCCCCGATTTGGGCCAGTGCTATGCCCACTGCTGCTGCCGTGCCCGCACTGTAGCCAAAGCCGCGGACCTAGTGAAAGGGGGGGAGGGAAGGGGGAGAGAGAATTGGGAGGGTGGTGGGTGGAAAGAAAAAGGACTCTTTGATGTGAGCGAGCCCTATGCCCACCACTACTGCCGTGTCAGCACTGTATCCAAGGCCCCGGACCTGTTGAATGGGTGCAATGGGGAAGGGGTGGAGAGAAGAGAGAGACAGGAAGATGACTCAATGACTCCCTTATCTGCGTCAGTGCTATGCCCACCGCTGCTGCTGTGCCTGCACAGTATACAAAACCCCGGACCTGGTGTATGGGGGAGCAGCGCGGAGGGGGGAGGAGAGGGAGGGGGGATTGCGAAGAAAAATGGATTCCCTGGTGTAAGCAACTGCCGACTGACTGCTGTTGCCGTGCCGGCACTGCAGGTGGAGATGCGGTCCCATTGAGTGTGGTGACCCACTGCAGGCAAGCTCGCAACACTGGAGGGGTGTTCTTACCAGCTGGTTCTGTTACTGTGAATGAACTTCTAACAGATCCGAAATGAAGGGGATTCAAAAGTGACTCACATACAGAAGAGAAAGCAAGTGGCAGGGACCATACTTAAGGGGTATGGGGAGGGGAGATAGGGCGGGCGTGGGCTGTTAGAGGTTTGCCGTTACCCCGCAATGCAAGCTTCCCCACATCTGCCTTACCACGAGAGCAACAAGAAGTGCATTCCCCACGGAAACAACAGCGAGACAAGGAGAAGAATGTCCTTGTGTTGCCAGAGGAACATGGGGTGCATCGCCATGCCTATGCCCGCCCCGTGCTGTACCTCATTCCCCCTCCCTGCCATACCGTCCCCACTCCCCAACTCACCACGAGAGCAACGAGCAGAGTTTTCCCAAGGAATACAACAGCTAGGGCGAGCAGCAGGATGTCTTTGTGTTGCCAGAGGAACATGGGGTGCATCACCACGGGCAAACCCACCCTGTGCTGTGCCCCCGCCCCCATTCTCTCCCTTACCATCCCCACCCACTCCCTCTCTTACCACGAGAGCAACGAGCAGCGTTTTCCCCAGGAAGACGACAGCAAGGGCGAGCAGCAGAATGTCCTTGTGCTGCCAGAGGAACATGGGGTGCATCACCATGCCGATAGATGCCAGGAAGAGTGCCGCAAACATGTTGCGCACCGGCTCCACCTGGTGTAGTGTTCTCTCGCTGTATGTGCCGCCTGGAGGGGGGAGGGGCAGGGAGAAGGACGAGGCGGAGTGGCAAGTTGCAGGGAGCATCGATCTGCCAATGCTGCACATGAGCTCCGTCCAACGTGGCCATTGTAATATGGTGTGCTCGCTGCACGTGGCTCTTGGGAGGAGGAGGTGGAGGGAGGGGGGAGAGAGGGGAGAGGGGGGGGGGGGGGCATTGTTGGCCATCAAGACGTGCCATGCATGAGCAGAGCAAAATTCATACCGGAACATGGCGGTTGTTGTGAGGTGCCTCAAATCTAGACAAATGCAATCAATGGCACTCACTTCAAGCAAGAGACGCAATCAATGACACTCACTTCAAGCAAGAGACGCAATCAATGGCACTCACTTCAAGCAAGAGACGCAATCAATGACACTCACTTCAAGCAAGAGACGCAATCAATGACACTCACTTCAAGCAAGAGACGCAATCAATGACACTCACTTCAAGCAAGAGACGCAATCAATGACACTCACTTCAAGCAAGAGACGCAATCAATGGCACTCACTTCAAGCAAGAGACGCAATCAATGACACTCACTTCAAGCAAGAGACGCAATCAATGACACTCACTTCAAGCAAGAGACGCAATCAATGACACTCACTTCAAGCAAGAGACGCAATCAATGGCACTCATTTCAAGCAAGAGACGCAATCAATGACACTCACTTCAAGCAAGAGACGCAATCAATGACACTCACTTCAAGCAAGAGACGCAATCAATGACACTCACTTCAAGCAAGAGACGCAATCAATGGCACTCACTTCAAGCAAGAGACGCAATCAATGACACTCACTTCAAGCAAGAGACGCAATCAATGACACTCACTTCAAGCAAGAGACGCAATCAATGGCACTCACTTCAAGCAAGAGACGCAATCAATGACACTCACTTCAAGCAAGAGACGCAATCAATGGCACTCACTTCAAGCAAGAGACGCAATCAATGGCACTCACTTCAAGCAAGAGACGCAATCAATGACACTCACTTCAAGCAAGAGACGCAATCAATGGCACTCACTTCAAGCAAGAGACGCAATCAATGACACTCACTTCAAGCAAGAGACGCAATCAATGACACTCACTTCAAGCAAGAGACGCAATCAATGGCACTCACTTCAAGCAAGAGACGCAATCAATGACACTCACTTCAAGCAAGAGACGCAATCAATGGCACTCACTTCAAGCAAGAGACGCAATCAATGACACTCACTTCAAGCAAGAGACGCAATCAATGGCACTCACTTCAAGCAAGAGACGCATTCAATGACACTCACTTCAAGCAAGAGACGCAATCAATGGCACTCACTTCAAGCAAGAGACGCAATCAATGGCACTCACTTCAAGCAAGAGACGCAATCAATGGCACTCACTTCAAGCAAGAGACGCAATCAATGGCACTCACTTCAAGCAAGAGACGCAATCAATGGCACTCACTTCAAGCAAGAGACGCAATCAATGACACTCACTTCAAGCAAGAGACGCAATCAATGACACTCACTTCAAGCAAGAGACGCAATCAATGACACTCACTTCAAGCAAGAGACGCAATCAATGACACTCACTTCAAGCAAGAGACGCAATCAATGACACTCACTTCAAGCAAGAGACGCAATCAATGACACTCACTTCAAGCAAGAGACGCAATCAATGACACTCACTTCAAGCAAGAGACGCAATCAATGGCACTCACTTCAAGCAAGAGACGCAATCAATGACACTCACTTCGAGCAAGAGACGCAATCAATGACACTCACTTCAAGCAAGAGACGCAATCAATGACACTCACTTCAAGCAAGAGACGCAATCAATGACACTCACTTCAAGCAAGAGACGCAATCAATGACACTCACTTCAAGCAAGAGACGCAATCAATGGCACTCACTTCAAGCAAGAGACGCAATCAATGACACTCACTTCAAGCAAGAGACGCAATCAATGACACTCACTTCAAGCAAGAGACGCAATCAATGGCACTCACTTCAAGCAAGAGACGCAATCAATGACACTCACTTCAAGCAAGAGACGCAATCAATGGCACTCACTTCAAGCAAGAGACGCAATCAATGGCACTCACTTCAAGCAAGAGACGCAATCAATGACACTCACTTCAAGCAAGAGACGCAATCAATGACACTCACTTCAAGCAAGAGACGCAATCAATGGCACTCACTTCAAGCAAGAGACGCAATCAATGACACTCACTTCAAGCAAGAGACGCAATCAATGACACTCACTTCAAGCAAGAGACGCAATCAATGACACTCACTTCAAGCAAGAGACGCAATCAATGACACTCACTTCAAGCAAGAGACGCAACCAATGGCACTCACTTCAAGCAAGAGACGCAATCAATGGCACTCACTTCAAGCAAGAGACGCAATCAATGACACTCACTTCAAGCAAGAGACGCAATCAATGGCACTCACTTCAAGCAAGAGACGCAATCAATGACACTCACTTCAAGCAAGAGACGCAATCAATAACACTCACTTCAAGCAAGAGACGCAATCAATGACACTCACTTCAAGCAAGAGACGCAATCAATGACACTCACTTCAAGCAAGAGACGCAATCAATGACACTCACTTCAAGCAAGAGACGCAATCAATGACACTCACTTCAAGCAAGAGACGCAATCAATAACACTCACTTCAAGCAAGAGACGCAATCAATGACACTCACTTCAAGCAAGAGACGCAATCAATGGCACTCACTTCAAGCAAGAGACGCAATCAATGACACTCACTTCAAGCAAGAGACGCAATCAATGACACTCACTTAAAGCAAGAGACGCAATCAATGGCACTCACTTCAAGCAAGAGACGCAATCAATCACACTCACTTCAAGCAAGAGACGCAATCAATGACACTCACTTCAAGCAAGAGACGCAATCAATGACACTCACTTCAAGCAAGAGACGCAATCAATGGCACTCACTTCAAGCAAGAGACGCAATCAATGACACTCACTTCAAGCAAGAGACGCAATCAATAACACTCACTTCAAGCAAGAGACGCAATCAATGACACTCACTTCAAGCAAGAGACGCAATCAATGACACTCACTTCAAGCAAGAGACGCAATCAATGACACTCACTTCAAGCAAGAGACGCAATCAATGACACTCACTTCAAGCAAGAGACGCAATCAATAACACTCACTTCAAGCAAGAGACGCAATCAATGACACTCACTTCAAGCAAGAGACGCAATCAATGGCACTCACTTCAAGCAAGAGACGCAATCAATGACACTCACTTCAAGCAAGAGACGCAATCAATGACACTCACTTCAAGCAAGAGACGCAATCAATGGCACTCACTTCAAGCAAGAGACGCAATCAATGACACTCACTTCAAGCAAGAGACCCAATCAATGACACTCACTTCAAGCAAGAGACGCAATCAATGACACTCACTTCAAGCAAGAGACGCAATCAATGGCACTCACTTCAAGCAAGAGACGCAATCAATGACACTCACTTCAAGCAAGTGTCAGAAGTAGTAGGAGTACGGCCTAGGCTTAGTAGCCTAGGCCACAGTAGGACTAGTAACGAGGAGCCAAGTACGAGCTAGGATTGTGTGTAGGAACAGAATTGAGAAGGAATGATTGAACTAGCAAGCAGCAGGATACAAATAGCAAACCCTAAGGGGCTGTACTCACTATAGAGTACCCCACTGCAGGCTACACAAACAACATATTCTGACACACCCCCATAGCCAAAGTGGGGTGTAATCAGCACAATGAGCAGTCATAGCAATAGTTCATAATTATCAGCAAAGCTAGAGGCTATCACAGAGGGCAAGTGAGGAGGAGGAGGGACTATGAAAGGAGAGAAGATGGGAGGCGACGACTGAAGCTGCAGACACACGGGCAACAGAAGCGGCTGACACAGTGGCGGCTGACACAGTGGCTACCGAGACAGAGCGCCCCGGAATACTGGAGTACCTGGCTCTGCGGCTACGACGAGCGGCAGAAGCAACGGACCCACGGGTGACTGGTGCAGCAGGCTCTCAGTGGCTACCGAGACAGTGCGTCCCGGAATACAGGAGTAACAGGATCTGCGGCTGCGACGAGCGGCAGGAGCAACGGACCCACGGGCAACAGGTGCAGCAGGCTCTCTGAGCTACCAGGACAGTGCGCCCCGGACTACAGGTGCTGCGGACGACAAGACAGCAGCCTCCACTCAACCTCCCCCAACAGTCCCACACCCCTCTCACACACCCCCTGCTTCACCCCTAGCTCCACTCCCACATCACCCCCCTAGTGCCACTCCCCACGACTCCCACACCTCCACCCCCCTCAGCGGCAGCTGCAGCAGTGGGAGACGAAAAAGGAGGAGGGGAGAACCCACACCTCTCACCCCCATGCTCGCCACCCCACACCCCAGCCACCGCGGAACGCACGGTGGAATGGGAGCAATGGGCAGCACCGGGGGGGGGGGGGGGGGGGACGGGGCGGGCTTCTGCAGAGGCGGCTCGCGCGGGTCCTGGGGCGGCTGCTGCAGGTGCGGGCTGCTCCAGGGGCGGCTGCTGCAGGTGCGGGCTGCTCCAGGGGCGGCTGCTGCAGGTGCGGGCTGCTCCAGGGGCGGCTGCTGCAGGTGCGGGCTGCTCCAGGGGCGGCTGCTGCACTGGCGGGCGGCTCCAGGGGCGGCTGCTGCAGGTGCGGGCGGCTCCAGGGGCTGCTGCTGCAGTGGCGGGCGGCTCCAGGGGCGGCCGCGGGGGGGGAAAACGCACGGCCCCCAGGGCGCCCCGAGGGGCGACGAGAAGGGAGCCGCGCGGCCCCCCCCGGGGCGCCGCGACTGGCACCAGGGAGGGCGCCGCGACGGGCCCCCAGAGCCACCTCGACGGGCGACGGGGAGGGCGCCGCGCGGGCCCCCCGAAGTCGCCTCGACGGGCGACGGGGAGGGCCGCGCACGGCCCCCGAAGTCGCCA